TTTTGTGGAAGGTTGCCATCAAGGTGAAAGGATTTTTCGGTGGTTCAGTTGGTGATTGCGAAGATTAATTGATTGGGTTCATCCTTTCGACGTTGGATCCAGATTGATACAGATAGGAGCTAAGTAAAAAAAAAAAAAAAACAAGCAACGTCAACTGACGGCTCGTGTGGCTGCCGAAGGGCTGTGAACAACGAGTTGAAATACCTCAACTTAGACGGCAAAGGCTGAACAATCTTCACTGGTGAGTCTGCATTTTATTTTTGGGGAAGTTAATTTTTTTGGAAAAAGTGCTAATTCAATTGATTACTGGTATTAATTTCGGCGAGTAAAAGCTACCATGGCTCAAGCCAATATAACAACTACGTTAGAGCCTTACCGGAAGGGTAATTGCTTTAGTGATTGGGTGGAAAGGCTAGGATTTTTTTTCAATATGAATAAAATTCCTGAAGAGGACAAGCGTGATCATTTCATCACGCTTAGTGGGCCTGTAATTTTCAGGGAACTCAAGCTACTATACCCTAACAGTGATTTAGCTGAAATTGCCTATGCCGATATGGTTTCTAAGCTAAAGGCCCGACTTGATAAAATAGAATCAGATTTGGTTCAAAGGCTCAAATTTAATGTAAGAGTGCAGCAACCGGATGAATCGTTGGAGGATTTCGTGTTGTCTGTGAAATTGCAAGCTGAATTCTGTAATTTTGACAATTTTAAATCTTCGGCAATTAGAGATCGCATTGTTGCTGGGGTTCGGGATAAAGCTCTTCAGCAAAGGTTGCTAAATGAGGAGAAGCTTACGTTGGAAATTGCGGAGAAACTTATTGCGACCTGGGAAATTGCCAGAAATAATGCCAGAAATATGGATTGCAGCAGCGGCATGGATCTGGTGGCTGCATTGAAAGCGTCAGGTAGTACTGGGTCTAGATTGGACAAGTTAGCTGCTACCATGGATTTGGCGCAAAGGATGAATAATGGTGGCGTTAGTCGTAATAAGGGATCAGTGAAGAACAGACTAGGTTATACACCGTATCAGAAAAATACATGGCGGGACAGACAATGGCGGAATGGAGAATCGCAGGACAGGCAATGGCGGAACGAACAATCGCAGGACAGGCCAAGATGGAGTGGACAATGGCAGACTAAAAGAAATAATAATAGAGAGCAACGCCCTGATTATTCGCAGATGGTCTGTGATTTTTGTGGTGTAAAGGGTCATATTAAAAAAAAATGTTTTAAATTGAAAAATATGCACAGGGATGCCGTAAATATGGTAAATCCAAATGCTTCGGCAACAAATCCAGATGAATATTTGAGCGATTTGGTTAACAGAATGCGAGCGGACTCGGAAAGTGATAATGATGTTGAGGATTCGAATTGGAAACGTGCCAACAATGGCGCATCGAGGACAGCTTCGCATATGTAAGGATCGGGACTTCTCTGGGAAGCCAAATGTTTTGTTAAGTCGACGACAATTGCAGCCCGAGTCAAGTGACAGCAACGAGGCATTCCATGGTTTTACTGAAGAAGAAGTTAGAAGAGGCAGGAAACGTAAATACGTGTTCGAGAATTTGGAAAGTGAGGTTGAAAAGTCAGCAGATTTCGCCCCTAGGCGTTCTAAAAGAATAAGAAAAGCTAACATTGATGAAGAATTTGTATATTAATTTGTAATAATTTTTTACGTTCTGATTTGCATTGTATGAAGCTTTGAAAAAGAAGATTATAAGAAATTGTTGTAGTAGTGAATTGAATTGTAAATGCTTTCTGAAGAGGGAAGAGCTGATGTGTTCTAATTTAGAGTGCAAACGATAAATGTCGTTAAACGAAAACACCATACGATGTTACGTATGACAGTTGGGTCAGGTCGACAAGGTCTGATCGTATGAAAAATAAAGAGGAAGATCATTCCAGTCTGAAACATCAAACGAAGTAGAGTTTTTTTTATTTTGCTCCCACCTTTCCAGTTCAGGGCAGGAGTAGCGGTTGCCTACCAACACTTACGGACGGAAGAACTCGGTCGTGACGTAGAAGGTAGAAAAAAGTTGCCCTTCCTGTACGAACGTCGCCGATCTGAAGTCAATCTGCTTGATATAGAAATGGTGATCGCTGATAACGTTCCATCTTTGATGTCCCGGTGCAAAATGTTCAATGAGTGCATTCCCAATGATCCTCACCAGCGTGTAATGTTTGATGTACTCTCCGTGGACCAAATCTTCATCACACTGCGACATACGGGAGACGGAACTTAGCCGATCTGAGTGCTAGCGTTACATGACCATTGTCTTCGACAGCTCGTACGGTTCATATACAAAAAAAAAACATTTGAATTTTCAAAATACCGGGTTGCAAAACATACAATTATTCACACAAAAAATCAGACCGATGTCATGGCACTCTCGGCACAGCGCGGCACATTGAGAAAAATGTTGGTGCAAAATAAGTGTGTAGAGTGACCACCCCTTGGCCCAGGCTTCTTGTACCCAAAAACAGACTTCTTCTAATCAGATCTGCTTCAAGCATTCATCGGTGTTGTTATCCTTGTCGCGGGCCATCACACGAAGCAATAGCTTTTCTCGGTACCGATGTTTAATAATCACAATTTGATCCAGCGGTTACGTTGGCAGACAGAAAGTGCCCCTAATAAAATTGGTGTGATTAATTTGCTTAACCCATTTGTGGAATAGTTCCATCATTTGAATTATCGTTCGGGTATGGTATTTTTTTTTATTAGGGGCACTGTGATCAACTCATCATCACTTTTGAGTTCATCGTTCAGATGATGGACTGAACAGTTATCTAAGAAAGCAAAATGGGCTTCGGTGGTATCAGTTGTTCAGCAGGAAATCGTCGAACTCCTGCAACAAAGTCAAAATGAAACCAGGATTGGGGCAACTCACGTCCAGAGCTGGTAAATATCATGGTCGTCATTTGACAATGAGAAAACAGGTCCCCTCACTATCACGAGACGAAACTACCAATCATTTACTTTCTTGTCATTTTCCAATGATCAAGCACTCATGAGAATAATTTTTATGCGGTTTTGACGTCAACATTTCTATCTGATTCAGATGAATTTAAGCAACCAACCGTATTGATATTTCCTCGGTACAAGTAACTTTAATTGCAATAGATAACTACGATGATCACAACACTGTCACATTCTGACAAAAAATTCGATGAGATTTTCACAAAAAATCCTATCATCGTTTTCTCATCCGATGATAGTGACAAAAGTATCTCTGTAAATATCGCGTTAGATCTTCCATTGACAATGACATTTGCCAGCCCTGCTCACGTCATCCAGACATAAACAATGTTTGAATGCTCTGGCGTTACGTGATTTTCCAATAACCGCCAATCGCAGTTTGTTGTTTGCCATGACATTAGAACACGGCATGAATGTGATCCTTTGCTTGATCATTTTACGCCCTGGAGCATGTTTATCGATCGAACCAACAAGCGATTCTGACGGCATCATTTAAAAAGGAACCAAAGCAACAAACCATCTTCAAGATGCTAATGTGCACGTGTCGAAACGTATTTGAATCTTTTGCTGCGCAAACAGTTCTTACTCGATGCAGCACGAAGTATGTAAAAATTGTAAAACAATCGCAGTAATTCTTGGTAATTTCATAGGCACCAACCGGTAATCAATGTTGGTAGATACCAACAATTTCATTATTCTGTTATAATTTTGATCGAAAAAATAAGGGAGTATTTTATTGCCCTATTTTGCCTGCCTAAAATTTGAGAAGAGGCTGACAAAATCGGGAAAGTACTATATTATATAATTCGTGGTTTAATTTTAATTGCCACTAAAGGAAAAACGTTACATTGGGGCAGTGAATGCAATAATGTTATAATGAAATAAGATGGGATCGATTATATCGATAATATTTTACTCTTCATTTTTGCATATGGACCACAACAAACGGATATTTACTTCGTAATTTGGTGTGTTAGAAGATATTGTGTTTGCTGTGTGCTAATAGAGCTTTGATCTCGAGGTTTACGTTTGTGTGAGATCGTTTTTTTCTTTGTTTGCTGCTTTTGTAGTTCAGTGTGGAATATGCAAGCGTAAGTGCCATTTAAGTTATGAATACTCTATTTTATTCTATAGTTTACTAAGTGTCGTGTTAGCTTTATGGCACATTCCTATTATTGGGTGAGAAGATTCCGTCCGAGCAGAATCTAATATTATCGTTTTCTAAGGCTTCAATTTGTTGTTGTTTTTTGATACCACGGTCCATTCGAGCTGTGTTTTGTTTACAATTTACATACTCCCTTTTCACATGTTGATCATGATTTGTTTTTTTGTGTGAACCTTCCTCCAGTTATCGATTAAAACGAATACAAATATTTTTACTCCATTTAGCTTATATGTTCTGCTAGCTAATTCAGGTACATGATGGATTCCAGTCACCAATTTGACTTGAACTGGGACATCTTGAAGTGGCTTGAAATATCCTCGTTGCCAAATATGTCACGAACCTCGGTCACCAAACACTTTGACCTCTCTAATTCAGTCAGTTTTCTCGTTTCTCACTGCGTCGACACGAAACCAGTGCGATCCAAACACACGTAAACAGCACTGTGCTGTGGATGCATATCATAGGTACACTTGTAACCAACACCGTCAGCTCCATCGATGGCAGCACATCCATCAAAATTGTCGTGGGATGATAATTATGAATCCATCACCGGATCATTAGCAGCTCATCGCCAACAATCAGCACAAATGTTACCTCTCTCCATATTGCCGTAAATAGTCCGAAATCCGATCGAGAAAACACCTTCAATCTCCTTCCCGTTTTTCCATCACGGAGACTAAGTGGAGTTCAAGCCTCCTCCGGAATAATACACTTTGTACAATCAAACACGCACACAAACTCACTTCCCGCAGCAACACAGAGTTCACTCGTAAATCTCTGTGTGGCCAGAAAATAAGCAGCAGCAACTCCAACAACAACAACTCCAGTCACAGCCAGTCGGCCATGTATACACACCTTTCGAGAACAACGAAGACGAGGACTGGTGCTGCTGCTGCTGCGTGACGTCAGGCTGGAACATTTTTCTCACTGTACAACACTGCTTCTTCACTTTTCTCGCACTTTGGCTGCATCTACTGCTGCCCAGGCACTGCTGGCAGGAAAATACTTTTCCCGACGCCGGGACCCATCCATGGCGGGTGGAAAACTATCGCATCCGTTCCACAAAGGGTTGGCGCACCGTTTAGAACTAGTTTCCGGACAAAATTCACTGATTAATTTGTTGGTTTTTCAACGAAAAGTGGAGACCGATTTTCACTTTAGCTTCTTCACGGGTTTACTGCTGCTCGCTCACTCGTTCGGGTCGGGTTCGGGCGACTCTGAACACTGGAGTTTTTTTTTTGGTTGCTTTTTGACGTTTTATTTACTGCTTTCGCCTGGTTGGCAGGGCTGCCGGCATGACGTTTGAGTGGAATCGAAATTTTGGCACCCGCTGCAGGGGTGTGGAGAATGTGCGTGACCTGACCGCTCGATGGCGTTAGTAAAGTAGATCGATTGGGTTTTGAAAGCACTCACCACCAGAGGGTAACCGTGTTCGAGGTGTTATTCCAACTAACCACTGTTGTCGTTGTTGTGATAAAAATATACACATCTGTCAAACGTGACTCACATCAGAATTTTCACTTTTAAAATTGAAAATTCGACACATTTTTACTGGCGAATTTTCATGTAAAATACCACATGATTTTCATGTGTCCATAACATAAACAGAATCCACTCAGAAGTACACATGAAATTTATGAGTCAAATGAATAGTATGTGTACACATGAGAACTATGTGTCCGCCACATAGATATCATTTGTTTATCACATTCCAAAAATTCATGTGTGGGACACATAAAAAAAATAATTAAATTTTATTAGTGTACGTTTTTGCGAGCGTTTTTGGTGATCATAAAGCTTGTAAAATTGTAGGAAAAGTGGTCTTCTTCAAAATGACAAATCTCTTCAATGATATCGCTGCTTGCAATCAGGATTTTGGATTTTTTCAGGAAAATTGATTTTTTTTATACGTAAACACAAGCTCCATCACTTAACATTTTCATTGTTGTTGCAGGATCGTTGCATTACCCCGGGATGCAACGAGAACAAATTTCAACTTTTTCGGGTTCCGAACTCGGGAAGCAACAAATTCGCGCAGTGGAGAAAGGTTGCCATTTGTTTGCGGAACAGAAACAAAGCGGATATGATCATTGTATTGAATCAGACTACACAGAAAAAAAATTGTTGAATATTACATCCAAACTGCTGCAACCAGGTCAATCCATCGATTGTGTAATATAACGTTGTACGATGTACATCGATTTTGCGAACAAAATTACATCCATTGATGTCATATTGTATCTGCTTTTTGCTATTACATCATTATTTCATACATCAGCTTGAATTACATTGATCGATATTACATTTTTTTTGCTGTGTATGTTGAATATAAGTTCCAAAGTTTGTTATCGTGGGGTAATTTGAGAATAATTTCATGTGGCAGCTCCCCGGGATGGGAACTTTGCAGCACAAACCCATTCTACTGGTGTAGCCCAGGCAAACAATATGCTGGGTCTCTAAAACCGCTAGTCCTTCCCGTATTCGCGTTCAAAAGCTGGCACCGACATGTAGGTGGCGCTTTCGTCCTTGTGATGATACTTCTGCTTTCATCTGTCAAATTATTTGGTTGAACCAGACCCCCTTCACTCTTTGGATTTTTTTTAGAGACAGATAGCAGCGCCAAACGGTTTGTGACGAGACAACGTTGAACTGCAGCGTTAGAAGAAAACACGCACACCAACATCTATCCAGCTTTCCATTCTCAGTAATGGTGGCCTGTTTGTATGAATAAATGTATCCTTCCCTGTGCTATCTGGAGGATCGCATTTTGACCCCTCTTTTTCTCTCTCCCAGGAACAGAAGAAAATGAAACAACATACGCCCTCCAGTTAGTGTCAAAAAGCACAGTGAAGGATACATTTATTCATACAAACAGGTCGCCATTACCGAGCTTGGAAAGCTGGATACATGTACGAACCCACACAACTGAGCGGACGGTAAGCGCAAATCAAAACACGAAGCGGTGTCATCACTTATCGTCTTCATTCAGCTTCGGCTACTTCCGTTTGCGTTTGCTTTTAAAGCGTTGACAAATACTTCCTACGTTATAAAATAGGAAAGTAATGATTATTCCAATGTAATTTTTGAATATAATGCGTGCTGCGTTGGCCAAAGAAGACGGCATATTTTATTACGTTTAGCAATGATTTCGATACGTTTCATTTCCAGTGACTGGGGTGTTGGAATAATTCTTTAGAGAGAGTGAATGCTTTTCCCTTGTTTACTTCTATCCCGCATAAACAATAACCATCAGAAGTGCTTAGCCACCAACACGCAGAAAAAACTATCGTAGAAACAAAAATATTTGAGTTAAATTTAAACGGAAACTCAGTTTGTTCTGGCCACAAAAATAAATTAGGTTGATTTCAAACGTGTTCCATGTTTGAAGTCATGTGAAATCAATGTTTAAAATAAAAATAATGTTATGTTTATTTTAAAAATATTCGTGTTGAAAACAAATGTTTTTGTTTTTGTTTGGTTTGACAGCTATGCGAACAAAAATAAATATTTTTATTTTAAACATGCTTCTTATGTTTAAAATAAACATACATATTTTGAAATTATTTTAATAGTTGAGTGCAGGGTAAAGCAAGATAAAACGGATTGCAAAGAGAAAAAAACAAGATCTTCGGGCAGGGCATCTAAATTCCTGCTCTTTCACCCTTCGATTAAGGGTGACCTGTGGGTATTGGGGTCCTGGGCCGGGATGCGGGGTGTGGGTATCCGGGGGTTTCCAGTTCAGTGGAACCGGTGAAAATTTGTTATATTAGCGTCGTTTTGTTGTTCTGCCACTAGTCCTAATATCGGTTTCTTTATACATTCGGTGTCGGAGGAGGATCCGGATTTTCGTTGTCCTTTCGAAGTCACGTGTGGAGGATTCTGTGGGGTTTCGCCGGTTTTGTCGAGCTGGTATCCGGATCCATCTTCGGTTTTGCTACTTTCGGGCCGTTTTTTGTTGTGTTGAGCAAAGGTGGGGCAACTTTTTCCGAATGTTACAAGAAGTAAATAAAAGTGCATGACACGCTAAAAAACGTTTACCCAAATCCTATATTGTTGAAATAAACATGCTTTTAAATTTAATTCAAACATAAATATTTTAGTTTTAAACATGCTTTCAATTAACTTTGAATAATTCATATGTTTAGAGTATAAACATTTATATTTTTGTTTTAAATGAACAAAATTTGTATCCGTGAAATATCGCAATATAATGATGTTGACTTCGAGGATGATATCGTCCTCTTTCCTCGGCTGATCATCAACGTCCGCATTGACATCTATCATGCTGACACCTGTCTGTTATTGAGCCCAGGTGGTGAAGTTGGCGGGGAACTCCCAACAGTTTCAATGTGCACTCAACAGATGGCACTGCGATCACATACGGGTGGTAATTATATGCCTTGTATGAGGAATTGATTAGTGGGATATCTTGTTAATTAGATATCTTTGGTTCAACCAGACCCCCTTCACTCTTTGGATTTTTTTAGAGACAGATAACAGCGCCAAACGGTTTGTGACGAGACAACGTTGAACTGCAGCGTTGGAAGAAAACACGCACACCAACATCTATACATGTACGAACCCACACAACTGAGCGGACGGTAAGCGCAAATCAAAACACGAAGCGGTGTCTTCATTCAGCTTCGGCTACTTCCGTTTGCGTTTGCTTTTAAAGCGTTGACAAATACTTCCTACGTTATAAAATAGGAAAGTAATGATTATTCCAATGTAATTTTTGAATAGAATGCGTGCTGCGTTGGCCAAAGAAGACGGCATATTTTATTACGTTTAGCAATGATTTCGATACGTTGCATTTCCAGTGACTTGGGTGTTGGAATAATTCTTTAGAGAGAGTGAATGCTTTTCCCTTGTTTACTTCTATCCCGCATAAACAATAACCATAAGAAGCGCTTACCCACCAAATATCGCAATATAATGATGATGACTTCGAGGATGATATCGTCCTCTTTCCTCGGCTGATCATCAACGTCCGCATTGACATCTATCATGCTGACACCTGTCAGTTATTGAGCCCAGGTGGTGACGTTGGCGGGGAACTCCCAACAGTTTCAATGTGCACTCAACAGATGGCACTGCGATCACATACGGGTGGTAATTATATGCCTTGTAAAAGGAATTGATTAGAGGGATATCTTGTTAATTAGATATCTTTGCTTCAAGCAAAATGTTCGTGGATTACGTTTCTGACCACAATACGCCTTTTTAATAGAAACTAATCGATCGATTCAACCTCTGGTGGTGAATATGAGAACGTCAAAAATAGTGTTGTGAGCAGAATTCATGCTGAACATTGCATTAGGTTCTAAGTAACATTGATCGATTCTCTTCGTCGACTTTCTCTTTCGTTAATAACTTGATCCCAGAACTGTTTCTTGCTATGTTTGTCGTATTAGATGCTAGATAAAAGCTTCTTTTATCGAGCTGTGTGCTGAAAATACCTCGGAATGTCTTTACATGGCCGTGGGGATGCAAAGAGAAAGTCTTTGTTTTCTTTCCTTTATTTAACGTCGGTCTCTATTCCGCAATCTAGTGCCAATCACCGACGGACATCGATTGCCATCCATTGACGGCAATCAAATGTGCAGAAAGGCAGCTTCCACACCTGCACAGGATATCGCACCCATTCACAACACACATGGACATGGGCCGGGACCAACGGCTTTACTTCCCTTCCGAAGGAAGACGTGACCAGAGATTTTTATGCCTCAGAAAAATCCCACCGACCTCGGCTGGGATTGAACCCAGACCATAGGCGTAGCCAGATAGGGGCAGGGGGGGTCGACTGCCCCCCCTAAACTCGGCAACACAGGCTTTCGAGGAAATGGCGTTCGGTGAAATGGCATTCGGCCAAATTTTCCATGGTAATTTTTTTTTCGCCCCTCCCTAGCTCGAAACCTGGCTACGCCCTTGACCCAGACCCATCGGGGTATTAGAAAGCAGTTACGCTTACCACTACACCACCGGCGCCGGCTGCAAAGAGAAAGTCGACGAAGAGAATCTGTCAATGGTACTTAGGACCTAATGCAATGTTCAGCTTGAATTGTTTGCCGTGAGACATTAGGCCGTATGAATAAAAAGAGTTTACTTTACTTTCCCATGCTTTTCTTACGGGGAAAGTAAAGTAAACGCTTTTATTCATACGACCCATTGGAAGCGGAACACTTTTTCACTTTTCCTGATAAAT